GCAGGTCCTGGGACTCCCAAAAGTACAAAGCATTATGGAAGCTTCCCTGCAGGACCTCCCACCCTTGTAAGTGTGCATGGACGGGTTGATCTGAAGTGGCTTTTTCCTCCCATTACCCCCTGCATTTTTAAAAATCTGGCATGGGTTTGGATGAGGAAGGTTTCTCCCTTTGCTTGCTCCACTTTCTCCGAACAGTGACGCACACACTTGCTCGTTTTTGCCACATAAGTGGGCGGTTTATATGCTGGGAGGGAATGATTCATAAATTAGCTGCAGCCTATGCCTTTATTGCTCTAATGATGTGTGAGCAGGATTCCATGTAAACCTTTCTGCCTGGCCTTCAGACAAAGTTGTTGAGGAGTTATATTTTCACTTTCTGGCTGCGGGTAGCCAAACCTTACTCAGAGAGAAAAGCTCTCCCAGTGAATAAAATGGAGGACAGCTGCAGGGAGGTGAGATGGCCTGCTACCTGCAAAGGAAAACCATGAACATAGTGCATTCCGCAGAGCTGTATCACTTGGCTGAATGTTCTGGAGGCTTTTGTGCGACCAAGATGAATGAGTACTAGATGGCAGTCTTTTAAGCAGGTAAAGACTCTGCTTGGGGGAAATGATGTGAGGCATGAGGCCAGGGGTTGTTTTGTGCCTCCGTGTAATTGTACTTACCTGACGACAACAACCACCCAACTTGAGGGTATGCTGAGCTAGGGTAGAAGAGGAGGAAAATTGAGGTGCAGGAAACCACACAGGGAAATGCTTAACAAGCAAATTGTTTGTTTATTCAAAATGATTATGTGTGAGCAAGAACTCTTTAGAAAGCAGTCAAACAGGCCAACTCTTCCTCTCATTTTCCAAGTCAAGAGGACACTGGGGTGGTGTGCGTTGAGCTATGTCTCATTGCAGAGAAGCAGGGAACTACTTACTGTTGGAAGCAGTGCTAAGGGAAGGTATCTGCAGCACAGAAAAAAAATCATTCTCAGCTCATAGCATTACTTGTTAGAAATCTTGGGCAACCTGTGATTATGAAACAAGCTTGTCTTATTAGCCACAATTGGTAAGTATATTTACAGATGTTAGCAAAACTAAATATTTTTCTTTGTGGCTGGAGTGGCGTCCTGAAAGACTCTACCCTCTCTTATACAACCCATTTTTTTTCCCTGCATGAATTGCGACATGGCTTTGGCTTTAGTTCTCAAAATCTGGTATTTACATGAGACAGAATTGAGCCATCTTTTGCCCATGTTGGTTCTAATATGAAAATCACGGTGTTTAGATTTAGAGTAGAGCTTAAGTGTTCATGGTTCATGTTAGATTTTCCAAGCTGCAGTTGGAAATTCTCATGAATATTGCTGCATAGTTTATGTTTGGATTGGTTTTCCTTTGTTTCTAACCTTTTTTCTCAGTGGCTGAATTAGAAACTGAGAAGAATTTTTTTCCCAGAGAGGAATCTGCACAGATGCATTTTTCTCAAGAGAGCAAGTTACCTGTAAAAGAAGCATCAGATTGAGTAATTCACCTGGTTTTCCCATTCCAAGGTGACATAGGGCATTTTTTTGTTATACTTTCAAGGACACCTGTGTGTAAAGGGACTTTTTTAATGTGTGTATAATCTGACTCTTACTTGGCAAAGAGAAAAATAAGGAGCTAGTGTTACCTTGTGAATATCTGATACTTTAGATTCAGACTTGGACGGGTTGGTGCTCGCTCCTGTAATGCACTGAAGTTGTTATTCAGCTGAATTCTGCTGTTACCTAACTAAAAGTGTGTTGGTCTCATCTTGTACATATCTCCTGTAACAGATACCATGTCAGAAAATATTCACCTCAGGCAAAAGAATTGTGAAAGAGGTTTGCCAAAGGCTGAACATGGATCTTAAGAAGATACCATAAGCATTTATGAGGCCCTGTTCTCTGTTAGCACACCCAGTAATGAACACCTGCCATCCCAACTATCTGATCCCCACGCTTATGCCCAGCATCAGGTGTTTTGAACCATAGGAGTGCTACTGATGTGCTCTGAGCAGTTTTCTGCTTTGAAAGATGATGTTGAACACTCGGCCTTGGGTGGACCCCAACACACACCTTACTGTAACTTTGCTCTTAGCACTTAATGCATACCCTGGCTATTTTACTTATAATTTTCTAAGCCACCTGTGGTTTCCATGCTAGAAACTTTGCAGTCACTCAGGATCTTCTAGAAATGATCACCTTCTCTGAAATGCATTACTGTATATTAAAACTCTATTTGGTGCAGTTTTATTCCATACCAGCCATGATTTGAACAGCTTATAGGATTAAGCAATGTGGTTAGTATTTGTCACATCATTTATTTCCTCAACTTCTTAATGTGAAAGAGTATAGTTAGTGATATGTCCTGCCCTGATGGGGAGTTTTTTAAGCTTTAAAGACTCATTACTTTACACTAATCTTGGAAATGGCAAGTTGAAATATTCGTAATGCTTGGCAAGAAGAGACCCACCACTGGCGAGTTCTAGAGATTGAATGTGTATCAGCACAAATGGTGTGGTCGATCTTTTCCACAACTTGTGCTCATCTGAGCTGTGCAATTTGCACTGATACTCCACTGTGGAACTCTGACAGAAAAATATATCTATTATGGTGTAATATATCTAATTATGGTGTGAAACCTCAACCCGTGCAAGTGAAAGAAACTTGTAATATCAGCAGAGCTTCATTAGGTTGAAATAATTGGTAGTTTTTGAGTTGGTTTTTTTTTCCAATAACATTGAGTTCTTCATGCTCTGAAATAAAAGAATTGTATTTTCTGAAACACAAGGCAGTGAAGTTTTCTTTTAAACGATTGTATCCCAAATCCATAATAAATGTAGCCTTTGTGTTTCTCACGTTAAATTTAGCTTTGTGTCCCTTGGTGGCTTAGTTTTGTATACTTGCTTCATAAAATGTCTTCCCCTTTGTTATTTCCTGCTCTTCTGTTCTCTGTGGTGTTTAAGGGAGGTTGTCTTTATTCGTCTTGTTGTTTCACTCAAGGTGTCTGTTCTCATGGACAATGGAGAGATATTGTTTTCCTTAAAATAGCTTTTACTAAGGCAAAATTTCTTGCATGCAGCAGTATTTTCTTTTCCATTTTATATTCTTCGTGGTCAAGGAAAGTTGGTTTTTCGGAGTAGCGTTAAGAACTGAGACAGCTGTACATACACAGTTGGATACCCTGTTATTACCTTTATTTTAATGCAGGGAATGACAATTGCAATTCATTTTATCCGTGACACAAACACATGTGCTCTGCAATTTCTCCAGCTTTAGAATGAATTGCCAACTCATTCTGAAGTGTTTTTCTAGTGAACTATTGTAGATTGAACAAAACAAATTTAGATATCACACAATTTTTAACATGTACTGAATCTCAGGAATAATAGTTTGCTATTTCATATTTAATCTTGGCTAAAACAGATCTTGAACCTGTTACATTCAGCAAGGACTCAAAGGGTCTGAAGGCTGATTTTCCAGTTGCAGCAGTCCCCCTCCTAACTCCCACTTTAAATGAGCAAATGAATATTAATATTCGGTCAGTGAAGTTTAAACCAGTTGGCAGAATGGATTCATTGATGACAAGGCTAACTCGTATAAATGCCTCGCTGAAGTTGTGAATTGCATTTCAAAAAATGCTTTTTTCCTTTCTCTTCTCTACCTGGTAGGAGCAGTTCTGAGCGGAGAAAGGAGAAATCGAGAGATGCAGCAAGATGCAGGAGAAGCAAAGAGACAGAAGTATTCTACGAACTGGCTCATGAACTGCCCCTGCCCCACAATGTCAGTTCCCACCTGGACAAGGCATCCATAATGCGCCTGGCAATCAGTTTCTTACGCACTCACAAGCTTCTGTCTTCAGGTAATGTCTGGCTAAAAGAAGTTGTTGATGCTAGTTAGTAAGAATGTGCATGATCCATGCAAGGTTCTAAAAGGAGAACAGGACACAGTTGCTTGTATTGTGAGAATATTGTGAGATTTACAGTTTTTGTTTTGTTTTGTTTCCCCAGAAAGTACCGTCTATATTTGAACTGAGATAGAAAATCTGAGTGACAGTAGTCATATAAGGTTTCCATTATCCAACTAACAGCTGATGCATTTTTGCATCTGTAAGATCTGAACTCTAAGAACAGTTGAATGTGGTCTATAAAAGTTAGTTACAATGTTTTGAGCTTTTAGGAATTTAATCAGAACTCAGACATATACCTTAAGCTTCCATGCTGAAACAAGCACATCTAATAGCATGGCAAACGTGTATTCCACTGCATTCAGAAGGCAGCTGGGAAGTTCCAAAGGTCCAATACTTTGTTCTAAAGGCCTGATTGTTCTACACACTGGTAATGAACGGTAGGTTGTCTATATATGGCAGAGTGAGAGAGCTAAAGTAAACAACTTTTAAATCATTGATATGAATGGATTCTATTTAATCAGTATTGCTTATTTTGGACTAATCTGAAACGTTAAACTAGCATTACATTTTTAGCCTGTTAAAACTGATAAAACAAACAATATTCTTATTTTGCACCTATATTTGCATAATCACATTGATAGAAATTTGTTGCTTGAATAGCATGTAGAATCAGTGAGAATAACTGTTGTGTCTGGGGAAATTTTTGTACTGACTTTTGTGTCAAGAATATGTTAAAAGAAATGTTGAACTATTTGTGAAAAAGCAAAGCCAAAATTTTGTCTTCTACTTCATTTATGGCAAAACTCCCAATAAGGTCACAATTGCCCTCCCTCTCTTTAGAAAAATTGAGTCATACCATAACAACTGCTTTAATAAATGCCATTAGGAAGTATCTCATCCCCTGGAAAAGTATGTTGTTAGTTTGTTGTTCTTAGTCTGAAGGATACAACAGATTCAGTTCTATGTCTGTATGCCCCATTTATTTGTAGCTATTTTGGACTCTATTACGACTATTTTATGAACTATGGGCTTTTTACCTTAACTTATAGAATTGGATTTTAGTGTTTACTTCTGTGAAAAGGAAAGTTTATTTGCTAAACAGCATTTGGAAATAATCTTTGATATCTCCATGTAATTAATGCTTGAAGTGCATTAAATAGGTAAACGTTCTTTAAAATGCTGTACAGCAAGCCAATTTTTTAGTGGCTTTCTCATTAAAAAACAAAACAAAAAAAGCAAAAACAAAACAAAAAACTACAACCAGCTTCAGCTTTACAAATATTTACATTAGATGAACTAGTGACTGTACAGCATAGGAAAAGCAAATTTCTGCAGGATTGTAACAGATAATATAAATAATGCTTGTGTCTGTGGATGTTCAAAGAAAATAGTTTGATGCTGTCATTGTGAGAAGAAAATATTTGCTGACCTGAAAACCATTGAATTTAAAGTGAACTTTTCAAATACACTTCCATTTACTGACAAAGTTCTACAGACAAAATATTTGGTTCAGCACTTCTTAAGTGTTAAGGGTTAAGATTGTATTATTTGATACTGATGACGACTCAATATATTGATATATTATTCATATATTTGCATACTTTGGTGTGTCTTCTGTGACACTGCTTGAAAGCCAGTGTGATTTGTGTAGTCGATACACATTTTCTTTAGGTATCACCGTGACCAAGCAGTTAGACAGGAATCTGGAAATGAAATGTTACAGTTGTGACAGACTGTTTTAACGATGTTCCAAATCTCTTCTATGTTAGTTGTTTTCTTAGCCTTTAGTCTGATCTGCTTCCCCAGTTAAAATACTGGTTTGGATTAAGTCACCTCATGCAGATTTGTCCATGGAGGTGTGGATCAGAGTTTCAAAATCTTTAAATGTTTCCCTTTTGAGGGATTGAGCTTAAGTTAGTCTGAAGGGACTGATTTTTTTAGCAGAGTTGGATATTATTTTCTGACATGGGGAATACATGGAAATGAAAGAATTCAAGCTAGAAAACAACTGAGTACTTGTAATATATTGCTCATCTGCTACTTATATTCTTCCAGGTTTGGCTAATGCTTAAATCAAGCTAAACAAGAAAGCTGAAACTGTTTAGCTCGAATATTGGAAAGAGAACACCTATCAGGCTTTGGAATTCAGTGGTAATCAGAGAGAGAACTTTCTTTATCAGAATAATGATTTTGAAATATATTTTTTAAAATTATTATTGTGCAGTGTACACTTGCTGAGATTCCTGAAATTCACATAGGTAGAGTGCTATTCTAACCAAAGCAAATTTATGTCAGTTTGAGTACCGTTTCTTCCCCTCAGGAGCAGGGAAAGCAGGAAAATTGAATATAGGTATTTCTAAGCAAACTTTTGGCAGGTGAGAGTTTTTGAAAAGCTTCTGCCATTCAGGCCTGTTGTACAGTACTTACTTAATGCAGCTAATGTTGGAAAGGTGTTGCTTTTCTGACCTGTTCCTGTGAGAGCGGAATCAAAGTCTTTGTGGTCAGCTGAGCAATGTCAGTCTTCATAAAGACACAAATTTTCTCTATTAGGATGTCTAATTTAATTCAAAATGATTATTTTTTTACTCCCATATGAAGAGATTTTGCCAAGAGCATGGAGTGAAGTGGAAGTGGCTTATGAGATCCCTGTTGGTTTTCCTCTTTCCAAGACCCAACCAAAACTGCCCCCATTTGACAGTCGCATCTAGCAGACTGTTAATTCAGAGTTAATTAACTCTGCATTGCATTTAAGGAGCCTAACTCCAGTGCTGGGTAGCACAGAGCTTCTTCTGTCATCTCTGACAGATTAACTGGGAACTCTATGGGGTGGCAGAGAACTGGAGCATGCATGAGAGACAAACACCTACCCCAGCCTGCAGACCTCTTTGCTTTATGTTGTCTTCATGGAACAGTACTGATTATTTGGGCTAGACTCTTAGTGTAAACTGGAGTTAAGTGGGAGTTTGTGTTCTGTCATTAATTAGGACATTGAAATAACATTTACTGTACTTATATATATATATATATACACACATATACACGCACACACAATGTCACTAAAATAAGCCTGGGATACCGCTTGGTGAATACTTCAGAAGTTAGTAGAGAAAAACATACTACTTGATTAGTATTTTTGTTATTTATTATTAATTATATCAAAAGCTCCTGGTGGAAGACGTTATATTTAATAATGTTGTTTGTTGCCAGTAAAATGGCAATTTTACTGGGAACAGGGCAAGCGAGAGCTTTCGTGGGACTGCATCCTCATCTTTCTGCAAGCACACAGAATCATGGTATGACTTGAGTTGAAAGGAACTTAAAACCCAAGTGATTCCAGCCCCCTGCCATGGGCAGGGCTGCCTCCCACCAGCTGAGGCTGCTCTGAGTCCCATCCAACCTGGCCTTGACATTTCCAGAGATGGGGTATCCTCATGCTTCAGATGGATGGCTTCAGGCAGTGTGCCAGCCTCCGTCCCTTGGCACTGAACGCTTGATGCCCTGTTGTACCATTCTCTGACTTGGAACAGAGCTTTTCGCTTGTGTAACTCGACTTTTTGGCTAGCTGTGCCTGCATAATGATTATTTAGCTGGCAGAAAGCTGAGACCTTGGGAGATCTGTGCCTACGTTCTTCCATCAGGTGAAAGGCAGAGCCTGGAGTCTGAGCATGCATTGAGCTCGGCGCTACGTGCTGCTGGAAGGCCCAGCGTCTGGGCTGTGGGTGCGCTTCTCCTGCAGCCATGGCGGGGCCTCCGCCGGGCCCTTGCATCCTATCATAATAGGAAATAGCTGGTTGTATATCTCAGAGTTCAAAAGGGTAAAAAATACCAGGCTTTGCTTTATAAAAGTTGCTTCTTTACTTAGTAACGCGTTTCCCTTTGATTTTCACAGTAGGCAATTCTGTGTGGGAATGTTGGAGAGGAAGCCTTTAACATTTAGAAATGCAGGCTGTTAGTCTGACGGCCTGATTGAGATTAGTATCACAGGAAGCAAACTGAAACAATGGCTTTATAATACTGTTTCCATGTTGTGCACACAACAGTATGCGGTATAATTGGAATGTTAGTAGAAATATCATTTAATTATGACCTCTTAAATATTTTTCAAGCTGTCTTCTAATTCTGTTGGCATAATACATTTTGCCGTCGCTGCATTAGTGTCATTGGGATAAATTTAGAATAGATCTTTGTTCAAGTAAAGGCTTTGATCGCATAAAGTTGCTGCTAAAAATTGGCTGTTTGGTGGTCATCTATATTGGAGCTTTTGGATTCAGGAGCTTATGTCTTTCAGCGTGGTCAGAAAGACCAATACCAGTATTTGTATCTTACTATTCCCTAGTACAGCTTGTGCTTTTCGGGTATGAATGGATGGCAAAAGAAAAATAATTGTCTTTTTCCACACAATAATAAATCTGTCTCCCTTAGTATTGTGGTAGTTTCTAAGGCTTATTCAGTGTGTTGTAGTGTGAATATTAGAAAGAGAATTCACTTTAGGAAGCCTATATGGGGTGCCAATAATTTTAAGTGCTTATTTGGACCGCACATGTGATAGAAGTTACTGCAACCAGGACACCTTGGCATCAATGTGCCATGACTGCTGACTTTTTAGTTAGGCTAATCAGGAAAGCACAGCTTTATCAGCTTGCTACAATCTCATGTTAATTGTACAGTCACCCAGGTGTCTTTTCTGCAGAGAATCCAGCAAAGGAAGCTGGGTGGGAGTCGCTTCTGTGCAAGCAGACAGCAGAAGAAATGGGGAGGGAACAGGGAAGCAGACGGGAAGTTGTTTGGGAGAAGGGAGGCCACAAGGAAGCCAGTGTGAAGTTGTTTCAAGGGAGGGAGACAACAGAGCAGGAAAACCAGTGGGAAGCAGAAGGGAAAAAATAGCTTTTCTCTGTGTTTTTAAGGGAGAGCACAAACTGCGAGGAGAACTGATGTGGACATTGTTTTTGAATGTCTGGACAAGCAGCATCTAATCTCCGACCATTGTGGCATAAAACAGTGCTTTAAAAATAGCTTGCCCACTTGTTCGCTTTCATTAAATTGGAAACTAGCTCTGTGCCAGCTGTGCTGGTAGGAGTGAGTGGAGATGGGTACCGAGTGCCCTCAGCTGCCTGAAGTGACATCCCTTTTGGGGAGAAGGTGTGCTCAGAAAGCCTGGTCTGATGTGATGCTGCGTTCCTCTACTCATCATCAATTGCAGCATGACTCAAAGCACCTTCTCAGAGTAGAATCTGAGGGATTTGGCTAGGTACAAACTGCAGTAAAATTGCAGCATTAACATAAGTGTTTTCTTTAGCAAAATTCCTTGTGCTCCTAGAGATAGGAGCCTTCAGGAAGATTCAGGTTTAAGAATAGCTTTTTTGTGAAAAAAGAAAGCATTTATTGGTGGTATTGAAAATAACCCCTTGCACAGGATGTACCTTCTGTCAAGGGGGGGGGGGGGGGGGGGGAGTGGGAAATCTGTTGCTTTCCTCTAATGCAAAAAAATAAACTGGGAAGAGACAGGTCTGTCCCAAAATTGCCCTCTCTGATGCAGGTTAAATTTGCTCTTACATATTCCCTAACTTCGGATGACGGGCACCAAGCAGCTTTTACAATCCTCTAGAGGACTTGCAGCCTCGTGTCTACTATGCACAGCATCTGAGCAGCTTTCTGGTACTTGCTGGATTCAGGATAAGAGACAAACCTTGACAAGTCTGTGGAGTTGGTGATGTGATCCCTTGTAGAAGGCCCCCCCCCCAAAAATGTACCTCTTGGTCAGAACAAAGCTGTTGAAAGAGAGGAGGCTGTTTGCTAGGGGTCTGTTTGTACCTGAGCAGTAAGGAGAGCCTAGAGTTCGAGCCTTCAGATTCATTCCAAGAGGTTGGACTGAAGGAAATGAGCAAGCATCTACGGAAAAAGTGTTCTTAAACTTGGGAACAGAGCACATCCTGACAGTGGGAATTAATCAAAGCTTGTTTACAGGAGCTATTTTTAGCATTAAAGGTTATCATAAACACTGCAATAAGCATTTGCCATTACAGTTCAAAGTTTCTTGTTGATGAATATGTTCTACTAAAGTTGGTGCGAATTTTTTTCAAAATAGAGCTGATTAAAAATGCTTTTCAAAATTTGATACAGACGGAGAAATAGACAACAAAAATGCCATATCAAAAATTGATGCAGACTGAGAAATACTGCCTTGAGGCAATGTGAATGCATTGCATGGGGTCTTAGGACGCTATTGCTGTGCTCCTGTGTGTGATGTAGAAGCCCCAGGGATGCCACTTCACTGCTCTGTGGCTCTCTGACTTATTTCAAGATCTACGTGTTTCAGCAAGACAGGGATTCTCCCTCTCTTATAGGCTTTCCTAGTGGTGTATGAGAATAATCTTGGCTGAGGTCCATAAATGGAACTATAATATGAACAGTTATATTACAGTGCCTCATTCTGCTGAATTAGTTTATAGGTATAGACTAGAATACTGTCCCATTGTCCTGCTACCTGAACTGAGATAATCTGGTTATTAGCGAGGAAATAAAAATAATCGCAGGCAAAAAATAAGTTCATCCTTATTGCAGAATTAATGTAGCAGCTCTTTTAAACAGTAATGACGACAGTAAAAATTCTTCCTAAAAATCAGGGTAAGTTGGATCCACAGTTAACTTTCTTTAAGAGTTGGAAAAGGCTAGCAAGTCTGCATGGGCTGCCACTGCCCTGAAAAGTGGCCTCAGACCTACTGGAAATTTCAGGCTGTTTGCCTCTTCCTCCTCGAGCAGACGACCTGCTTTCATCTGGCCTCATTTTTCCATCTGGAGCTGAAATTCCTTATGCTAACGCTCCAGCCTGGCACTACCATAAACTCATGAAGAAAATTCAAAGCAAAGTGAAAGATAACTAGGGTTTCTGAGACCAGCTCAAAGCAACTGTGGCTTTATTTGTTCTTCTGCTGTTAAATAGATTTGTTCTAAAGAAAACCAGGTTTTTGCAGGTAGGAATAACTTAATTGTGCCCAGTGTATCAATCTCCTAATGTGCGTATATCCTCTGTGTATTAATAGCTAGTGATTTTCACAGGAGAAAGGGAACAAGCTGTAACATTGTAAGTGTAGCCAAAGGAGGGATTCTTATGGATTAATTGTATTAATGTAATTATACTGCTAAGCCCCCAATGCAGGGCCTAGCAGGGGCACAGCAGCGGTGCCGGCCTCCCTCTTCGCTGCAGACCTGCGATTTCAGTTTGTGCTGCTCAGGGGCTTAGCACTGTTTGTGCCTACTGGGGCCACCACAAGGTACCTGAGCAGAGGAAAACATGACCAGCTCAGGGGCCTCTCCCCATGCCTCTGGAGAGGCGGCTAGGGATGCCCACGGGGCTGGCAAACACCAGGAGGCACAGCAGCACACACCATTCCACTCCCTCCTCCTAGCCTTCATCACAGATGCCTCCAGCTGGACGAAGGTAGTTTTAATAATACAGTTAAACTCTGATCCAACAAATCCCTGTAACCACTTTAAGCTTTAAGGCTGTCTGTGTCTTTAAGTGCTTTGCTGGACTAAGACCTTAAGGTTTTGAACCTGCAGCCCTGATGTGAATGATCCGATGTCCTCTTTATATGTTTGTACAAGTAATATAATTTATATACATGGAAAAGCAAACTTAATCACCTGATAATACAAGTAAAGTGTTTGTCTTTCACTGTTGGAGGCATTTAAGAATACAAATGCTTTGAATAGCCTTCCTGCCTTTGAATGGTGATGTTTTGTTAATGCAAACTTAATGAGCTGGAAAAAAAAATGGAAAGGAGGGTCTGGGGTTGGAACTGAAAAGTCATTTTTTCTCCGAACCCACTTGGCTGATTGTCTTGGGCTGTAGCCATGATCCTTGCTGAATAAACCATTTGTTTGCATCCGGAAAAGTTAAAAAAGACCCTTGACATTCTTTACACAGCAGAAACAAGCTTGGGAGCAGATGGTCACTTACCATTTTTTTTCCCCCCACCTAAATGTCATTATGGTCAAAGTGCATACTATTCAAATATATTATTGTGTATTTTCTGTATTTTAAACGCTGGCCCTGATGTAATTTCCTGAAGCCAGTTGCTTTGTACTGAGGAGGAATTGGTCCCTGTGCATGTAGTTCAATGCACAGTGCAGGGACACGAAGCAATGCAATGCCAGCCTGTGCTGCCCATCCCGGGTTTCTCCTCTTCCCATCTAACCAAACAGCCATGCTGAGAAGCAATGTTTAGGACACAAAGTGCTCCTGATGGCTCCGGGGCTGGGCCAGCTCCTTCCAGTGCTTTGCAGGATAGGTGATGAGCAGCTGCCAGAGAGGTGCAGAAGCTGATGTCAGTTTTGTCATCACTCATCTACTCCAACCAGAGTCTGCACGCTGCAAGTGCCCATCATTCTGTGCTTGTTCTGGTCTAGACTTAGGTATTAGAGGTGCAGTTGCAGGAGGTGAATAGATCAGATTCCTCCCTTAATCATAGCTGTGTCATACTTAAAAGTAAGAACCATGTTAGTTTGGCTTAGATTTTTCCCTACTGGGGAAGAAAAACAAAGCAACAACCAAAAAAAAGTATTTTCCAATAATGTACTTTGCAAAGCAACACCCCAGTTCTGCTTATAAATTTCTCCTGAAACTAACCTTTTCACAAGAAGAGAATATGAATGTATGGTTTTAGAGAGGGGAAGAAAAACACATAAACGAAATATTTTTCTCGAGTTTGCTAACAACAAAAATCTCTGTGCTGAAATTGGAACATTTAACCAACAAAGCGAAACAACTACTCTAAGCAACTTGTTTGAGTCTCCCTATTCTCACAAAGCAGGCTGATGTAGTAGGATTGGAGCCTCTGGCCAGCACAGTCCTGGTGGGCTCAGCCTGAGCCCTCCCTGCAAGGAACCTTTTCTGTACCAATCATGTACAAGCTATCTGCAGGCTTCTTGTTTATGAGGCTGAACTGGTGTGGGAGTTGAGAAGGTGGGAGTACTGTATGGCCAGCTGGATGACGGACTTAAACCTGTGAAAGCAGAGGAGGCGTTAGGAAGAGCAGTGTGTCTGCCCTCTTCTCCTGCGACTGGCTACCCATTGTATCCCATCTCAGGAGGTGGAGCACACACACTGAAGGCATAGCAGTGCCATCAGTCATCTCTACAAGTCAAAAAAAAAAGTAAAAAACCAAAACCCAGAAAGGTGACTATCAAAAATAAAAACATAAAACAAAGCAAGGATGTCCTCATTTTTCCAGCAAGGCCTTAGATTTCAGCACAGCAGTAGCACTCTTCCCCGAAAATGTTAAGATGTGCTGAATTTGTAAACACTTCATAGGCAAATGTGTGGGATCTGAAGCTTTTCCCTTTGTTGGTCAGGAGGGAACATAGGCGGGTAATGTGTTTCAGAGGTGAATGGAGTTCTGACTCCTGCAGGTGTAAAAGCAGGTATTGATGGGATGGATCTGGGTTTTTTACAGGAATTTTGGGAATTGTTAGATGAGATGTCCCCAAAAGGACTGCAAGGGAATTTTTCTACTTTTTCTTCTAGAGGTAGTATTAACAGACATTTCCATTCTGAGTGCAGAGGTATATAGGCGTGCTTCATAGGAAGAGTATTTGAACTCCTTAGAGAACCTGACCTGTTGTAAATGTTTCTTGTTAAGACCATTCAGTTGCCTTCTCTAAGATCTGCCCTGCACTTGGCACCTATTAGATGTGAAGGTAACGTGTAGCCAAAAGAATGTATGTCCAGAATCTGCACTTTGTGCCTGAGTATTGGCAGTGTTATGCAATAAGAACACGTCCAGCAGAAAAGCAAACAAGGTCAATAGAGAATCTGTTTGTCAAAACGTTTAGCAAAGAAGCTCTTGCCTTTCCATGGGGAGATCATGTTCTTCTCAAAAAAGGAGAAAAAATAATAGGCTCCTCCAGAAGGGATTTATGGAAATGAAATTCGAAGAGCAGAAAAATATTTTGTTGCCTTGTTATTGGATGTGATTGTGCTGAAAAAGGCTGGCCGAAGATTTTAGATGTTTTTTTTCTTTTTTTCTCAGTATGTGCCGACAATGAGAATGAACTAGAGGCAGACCAGCAGATGGACAACTTGTACCTGAAAGCTTTGGAGGGATTTATTGCCGTGGTGACACAGGATGGAGACATGATCTTTTTGTCAGAGAATGTCAACAAATACATGGGTCTCACCCAGGTAACTTTGTTCCCTCGCACTTTCCTGTCATTGTAATACAATTCCTAGAAACTAGGCATATGCCTAAATGCAGAAAAACAAGTCTGCATTTCTGGAAAAAAATAAAAAATAAAATAGAAATAGACTGTCTTATTTGTCAGGCAGATGCCCTGTACACCAGGCAGCACTGTTTCTGTGCTCTCCATTTCTATCTCTCCATTTCTATCAAAGTTATGGTGTCTTTGGATACTGGAAACGAACCCAAAGCTGCTGTTAGTGTATTTAATTGTAGCAACATTTTCTTCTAAACAAATGATATTTAAAAGCATATAAATGAGCAACTGAAATTCTCAGTAAGAAAAGACAAGTCCCCCCTAAAATTGTCCCTGATCTGTTTGATTCACATTATTTTCTGTACGTGTTGCTCTTATTTAAATAAGGATCATTTTTATTTCTAAATAGGTGGAATTAACTGGACACAGCATTTTTGACTTCACTCATCCATGTGATCATGAAGAAATAAGAGAGAATCTGAGTCTGAAAAATGGTAATACTGAAATAAAGAGTTTGCTTTTAAATAACCAAATGAAGTAATTGGCCGATAGTAGAGATCTGTTAGTCATAGTAAAGAGAATTTTTGTTCCTAGAGCAATCATCAACTGTTATTCAATTCTTTGCAGATTTGTTTTTTGTTTTGCTAAATACTGCTTATGTATGATAGACCTCAGAGCTGTTTGTTTAGTGTTTTCCTTTCATCAAATTAAAACAGGTGGAATGTTTTCTCTTACAACTCTTCACGAAGATTTATGTGCTGCAAGCTAAAACATAAGTTTTAATGCAAAAAGTCCCATTTAAGTCTCACTTAAAGTTTATGATCTACGAACTGCTTTTCAGTGGTCCATGCATCTTTGATGGTCTCTGCAGTTATGTTACCTGAGAATTAGTCTATTATTTTTATTGCATCTTTTGTGCTTATAAACAGGAGAAATCAGGAAACAAAACTGAGAAAACTCATTTGCCACTTTCCTTTTGTAGGTCCAGGCTTCGGAAAGAAAAACAAGGAGATGTCAACTGAACGTGACTTCTTCATGAGGATGAAATGCACTGTTACCAACAGAGGCAGAACAGTTAACCTCAAATCTGCCACATGGAAGGTACCATTTTAGCCATAAGTGTTGACTTAGTTGGGTTTTTTTGTTTATTTGTTTTATTTTTAAGAAGACATTCTGGATTGTAGGGAACATATGTTATGAGACTGTTTTTCATTCACAAATTGTTATTTCAGGTTTTGCACTGCACTGGACAAGTTAAGGTGTACAACACTTGTCCTCCTCATACTTTGTGTGGGTATAAAGAGCCTCTTCTCACCTGCCTTATAATAATGTGTGAGCCTATTCAGCATCCTTCAAATATTGATATCCCTCTGGACAGCAAGACCTTCATGAGTCGCCATAGCATGGACATGAAATTCACCTACTGTGATGACAGGTAAACTCAACTGATTTCTCCTTTTCATGGACATTTCAATTTTATCCAAAACAAGCAGTCAGCAGTCAGTTAGCAGTCAAGCTGCCTTCCTGTGTAGACCTGATAAGCAAGGACTAAAAGAAAGTACAATCTGTTACTCAAATCTCAATTTAGACAAAACAGTACTCCTGCTGCATTTCTTCCACTTCCAAGTGAGAAATTCAACTTTACTGGCAGAAGGCAAGACAACTTAGAGCCATAAACATTAGTTTCTTGAGTCTTAAATTGAAGAGTACAGAGAGTCTCTGTTATGTTTTTAGAGAATACCTCTAGGGACATGCCTTATGGACCTTAGTCAAGGACTGTCTAATAGTTGTTTTGGCCTAAGTTGCTGTTATCAGTTAGTTGGAAAAGTTGTTTATGCTCTAGAATAACTAAGAACTGCTAAGGCACCCAGAGCTCTGAAAGGAGTTGGTGCTCAAAGAAGAGCGATTATTCTTTACTGTTTATCTATGTGCACGTTTTAGAGGTGAAGTGGAGAAGATCCAGAGACAGCTAGGGTGCAGTGCCCTGCGCTCTTCAGGCTCTTGAAAGAATGGAAGTCCCCATAGTCTCTCTGCCTGTTTTCACTAGGATCTCCATGGTGTTTCATACCATCTGTCTTTTCTCCCTGCCTAGAGGGCAGTGGGCATGAAACAGGCTGCCCATGGCAGTGGGCACAGTCTTGAGCTGTTGGAGCTCAAGGAACAGTAGTAGTACAGCACTGTCAGACACAGGGCTTGGGTGTTGGGTGCTGATGTGTGGAGCCGAGAGGTGGAGTCAGTGATCCCTGAATTTAATTTGAAATTTTCTGATGGTTTTATGTGACGTTGCTCTCATTCAGAGATGTTTGCAGCCACTGAGATCTGTAGGGTTGTCAGTGGGTTTATATACGTGCTTAAATCTTAGTAAAAACTCACAGGATTGAGTCCTTATTTGCTTGATCTTTTGAAGGCTTTTTAAAAGTTGTTCTAACCAAGATTATTATTTTAAGTAGTATGATGCATCAGCCTTATAAACCAGCTGGTTTAGCAGCTATGGATGAGAGCAAGGTTACAAGTGTGAAACTCATGACTGACCTTATTCTGACCTCTCTGGGAATTTAGCAGCAAGTCTGTTGTAATTAGAAATGTGCTATGGTATAACTGCAATAAAATACATTCTTTTATTGTTCAGTACTTTAAAGATGAGAGTATTGAGATATCAGTAGGATTTTGCTATTAGGTGGAAAAGTCAAACAAGACAATAGTGATTCATCATAAAAAACAAAAACAATGTACTGGTGCCACAAACTTACTCAGTGGTTGATTTCAAGAGTCTACCAGAAGGTTTTGCTATATTGCATCATTCTCATGTCTCTACCAGAATTGATGCTTGAGCAATTGTAAGTGCAAATTTGCAGGACTGATACTTTTCTACGGAAGATATATTGCATGGCCAGGGAGGTGGGGGAGTCACAGTCCCTGGCAGTGTTCAAGAGGCGTCTGGACGACGTGCTGCGTGATATGGTTTAGTGCTTGTGATGGTAATGGTGACGAGGAGATGGTTGGACTAGATGATCTTATAGGTCGTTTCCAACCTTGTGATTCTATGATTCTATATATGATTGTTTTAAAAAGAGTGAAACGTTATGTGCTCACTGTGATTTACGAGGAGATGATGTACAGGGAAAACCTTTCATGTAGCAGTGAAATGCAACAGCATCCTCTGAATTACATAACTTGTAAGGAATTTCAGAGATTTCTCGTTAAAATGAAACAACCAAACTGCATCTCTGTTGCTAAATAATTTAGTTGGGAGGCTTCATTCATGTTTTACTGAAATTATGATAAGCCATGAAAAGCCAGCCAGGCCAGAGAAGGAAATAAACCTCTCACACATTTCAGGTTCTTCCCAGTCAGTCCTGGCTCTCTTCCCTCCCACGGGGATGTTGGTCTCTCTCCAGCGGGTGACACCTCAGCAGACACATAAAAATGTAAAACACTCAGCTGTTCTTATCAAATTTGGTGCTGCTAGACGAATGGCATTAAAGGAGTAGCTTATGCCAGGAATGTAAATCCAGGCCGAGGAGCGAGAAAGGAAAGGCAGCATGAGGCAGTCGGATGCCTAAACCCTGCTCAGTGCACTCAGCCTTTCTGCAGCAGCGTGACAAGGCTGTCATGGATCATTTCACCATGAGAGATCATTGTGTGTTCTGAGCTCAGGGCTGATATCCTGGGAGCAGCGTGCCTCCTCACACAGTCTGAGGACCCTCTTTGCAGTTCATCTGGTGTGAAGAGGTCTACCCTCTGGACTTCTTCCAAAGTGTTTTTATTTTTGAAGCATCTAGTTCAAAAA